GTTGATTGAACTTTAATGGACAAGATATTGGAAGAAGGCTGCATTAGCGACAACACTTCCTATTGCTTAAACAAATTCGGAGTAAATAGAACAAGATTATCAAAAAGATAAATGCCTGAATCAAGAACCTAGCGTTAACTCGATGAAAAGTGATTCTTAAAAATAGGTGGGTGAGAAACATTCGGAAATGAAGAGGAGATGTTTTCAATGAGCCTGGTCAGCTCCGAGAGACTAGTTCAACCTTTTGGAGCCAGGAGCATAAGCGACTAAGCCGAAGGTTAATCCCAACCATTATTGCAATGTGTAATTTTAGCTAGTATATCGGAGCTAATTTTATTAAAATGTATTCGAAATGCCGGAGGAAACCAGAGATAATCATTAATTGGTTGCTTGGATACACGAGTTTAATCACAGGTTAAATAATATAGATGGATCACAGAGGCAATGTCTGATATCTGGAGACTTTGGAATAAGATCAATGATGGTTACCTTCTTCACGTCAACTCACTCAAGTTGTGAAAACTTGTTAGAAACCTTCTACACAGCGAAAAAAGACTGTGACAAAAACTGAGGCCATATCATCTTAATCTTCATATGTTCTACACTCATATAATTTTTCAATTAATCATCCTTCTTTTAGGACGCTTATTCTGGCAAGTATCCACACATTGTCAGCTCCAAAACCCTTCAAGCCGGTAATTCTGATGGTCTTTTCAGAAGTTTCGTTCAATCTGATCAAACTCAGCCTGGCCAGGGTCATCAGCAAACATATGCATTTTTCCCCGTAGAAAATGCTTCAATACTTTCCGATAGTTGGCGTTTTGATGTTATCTATGATGCAGAACTTGCTCGCTACACTGTCCCCCCATTTCTATTTACCATAGACAAGAATGACGAATTTAATGTTCTTGCCGAAATGGATGATTGGATTACATCGCTCACTGGACTTATTGAAGGTAAGACTTGTACTTCTTATCTTAATTTAATTGCTTATAAATAAATAAATAAATATATTTATTTATTTATTTATTTGTAATTTCATTATATGAAATTCCATATTACTGTATGCAATCATCTTTTGTGTCTGTAATAGCATTATGCTTTTTAAGCTAATTTTTAATTGGACCATATAACGTACTATCTCACACCCACAAATAGTTTCCACTTTATTTCCTACGCTTATTCCGTCTATTCTTAATTAATCCTAATGAATACTCATTTTAAAATAATTCTTTTCTTAAGCACCTCCCTAGGGTTAACATCTTTGTGACGCAGAATTTTTGATCATGGATCTTCTAACTCTTAATTTAACCCCATAAGTATGGCTTGAAAATAAATTAATGGAAACTCCATAGTTGTGGGTTACCTATACACATTCCTACTCAGTTTGTTTCCTTTTTTACTAACTAGGACACCTAGAAAAGGTGAACTACCATTCTTGGCTAGTTCCATGGTGAAATTGTGCCTGTATAAACATTTTTTTAGCTAATTTTGAATTAGGCCATGCAACCTATTATATCTTTATATGGATGATGTATAGTCGTTATTGGCTCTTATTATTTCCTAAATGAATTTAGATCGTATTTGAGCCTATTTTTATTTTGCATCATTTAAATATATTCTAGTCTAAAGATCTATAATTTGCAAACAGTCATACTTATATGAGATGTATACGTCCTATTTCGTTTGAGTTGATGAAGGACTGGTAGTAGAGACTCTGCTTTGTACGAAAAAGTCCTAATTGTTTAAAAAAAATTAAAAATGCTAATATGGTTGGAAACATTTTAGAAAGCAAAGTCAATTATTTCTTATTTGGCACTCTACCAATAAGCCAAACATTATATTCTCTAGGGGTTAAAATCACAAACATTATTTTTTTGTGAAATATAATTTTTTTTGAGACCATCACCAGGTCATTTATATATGAAATGTATTCACCCTATTTCATGATAAGGCGATAAGGGGACATCCACTTGCCTGTGTAGTGGCTAACGCAGTGATTCTCAAACTGTGCGCCGCGACGCCCTGAGGAGCCGCAGCTTCTCTACAGGGGCGCCGCGAGATATTGTAAAAGCTTCAATTTGAGAAAATGTTTAGTGCTTTGCAGGCTCATCCATTACATTAATTATTAAATATTAATTTAATGTTAATAAAGTAAAAAAAATAATGTAGATAAATAATGAAATTTTATTTTTTATCTCTTACGAATATTCATACTTATGGTAGGGCACCATGGAAACATTTTAATTGAAAAAGGGCGCCGCGACTAGGAAAAGTTTGCGAACCACTGAGCTAACGCATGGAGATTTTATGCGCTTATCCAATTTCTTGACTGATTTCTTTGATGATATTCTTTATCCGACCCTATCATATTTTTGGTTGCTTCTACTTTATTATTTCCATCCTTCCGATTAGTATAATTTTAAAATTAACATCACATTTTGGGAGTATGCGAATTTTTATAGTGCTTCTTCAAATACTCCTGCGATTTGCTTACTCGTTAAATTTTCTATTATCTCATCTTTGCCATTTATTCGTTACTACGATGCAAGGCTGAGCTATCACCTGGTATTTTCGGCATGTCAAGAATGATTAGATTGAATATGGGGAATCTGCCTTTTTATTCTGGTAGAATTCACTTTATAATATATTTATTACACATTTCCAATATAAATGGTAAAAATCTCAATATTTATAGACCAAGCAATTCTTGAAATGCAACTTATATATATATTTTTTAAATTTTCAACCGTGTTCGGTTCGTGATCCATTGTATTTCCGGATTATCGTCCTCTTACCATGGTTCCCAAAGTTACTTTTCTCTTAGCAAACTCGTATGCATGGTTTGTACATCGAATCAAAATGCAAGTTCCTTTCCACCCAGCCTGATGTCTTTAAAAACTTATACGAATTACTCACGCTCTTCTATAGTTTATTATTAATCTCCTTTTAACTGATAGAGGTTAATTGCGCCAGTTTATGTGTTGCTTTGTTCTTTTCGTGGTTCGACGTGTTTCTACTTCTTTGTTAAATTTTACATAGTATATGTGTCGCTATCTTATGTTCTTTCCTCATTACAAGCTCATGGATAACTTGTTGATTTTTCATTTACCTTGAATTTATTGCAGTGTCTTTATGCTCTTCACTGTCTTGGCATAAAAGGCGAAGTTAAAACTGCAATATATTTGATTATAAAATATTTTGGAAAGCAATTTCGTAGTAAGAAATACCCATATCATTCTGGTATAATCTCAACAATCCTTAAATAACCTTGAATGAACTAGGGTAAATAAGTTCTCATTCAATATTTACAAAGTCTCGAGAACTACTCACATCGAAATTGAGTAACGTCGCCGATTGCAATGTCAAG